CGAGCCGCCCGTGGCCATGTCTACTAACAATTGTTAGCCTTGGTTGCAAACAACCAAAAAAAGGAACCTGTAAAAGAAAAATAAAGAACAAAAAAAGGGACCACACCGCAATATAAAAGAAATTTAACTTGAAATCGACTAAACAAAATTATGCTAGAAGAATGAACTGCACCGAATTGCATGGTACGGTTCGAAAGAAAATTATGCTAGAAGAATGAACTGCACCGAATTACATGGTACGGTTCATCTCGAATTTTTCAAATTTTCCTCGACTCTTTATATACTTTTATTCAAATTTGATGCGGCTTCATACAAGATTGTAGACAACCGAGAAAAGTAAATATATCTAAATCTACAAAAACTAATAAAACAAACCGTACTGCAATGTAGAAAAATGTCGAACCAGCCGAATCAAAAATCTACCATAATTAAGAAATCGAACAGCACCAAATTGCATCATTTTTCCTAATAAAATGTCTACCAATTTCCACACTTGTCTTCTCTTTAAAATATAGAACTTTGAGTTTCATAGCAAAATTGTAGTAGCTACACTGTTTAAAAATTTGTTTTATGTATACAATCACTACTCAAAATTACATGTAATAATTTTAGTAGAAAAATATTGCACAACAGTAAACAGTAATTCATCTCTAACAGAAAAAGTGCAAAACTCATTCTAAAACTCAAATGAATATTCTCGGAAGAAAAATGCTACATGTACATAATAAATGTACATAAAGATGTACATAACACTTACATGGAGTGAGGTCCACTTGATTATCTAATTTTAGTGGGTCACACTCAATGTGAGTGTTATGTACACCTCTATGTACAATATTATGTACCTATAGCATTACTCCTCTCGAAATGTTCTTTTTTACATCAACGTTTACAATTTTTCAATGCTACCCACATATTTTACAACTTTACAAATTCAACCACACTATTATTTTAAATTTGTATTAAACTTTATGTAATAAAATTAATTATAAAGCAAAAATCATATACATAATAAAACTAGAGAAATAAATATTTATTAAAAATTACAACGTACAAGATAAAATTAAAAATTACAATGCGCAAAATAACATTAAAAATTACAACTCAGAAGATGAAATATTAAAAAATATAACATACAAGTAAAAATAGATAGTCTTTCAAGTCTCGTAATTGGTGAATTCCTCCCACAAATGATCAATTAGTGCATTTTGAAGTGCAATGTGATCATCTTTATTTCTATATTTTTTTACCGATATATGAATTCCTAAAATCGAGTACTTCCATCTATGGTCATTTCGACCTCCGGGGGCGGCATTTTCATCTCAATTTTGATTGGTACACTTAAGTCATGTTCATCCTCGACAATCATGTTATGCAAAATTATACATTTTTTCAAAACCATCAAACTATTGCTAAAGTTAAAAATATAACATTTTTTAATTAAAATACATTATAAATATAAACCATATTAATATTAACAAGACTATAAAATTAACACATAAAAAATACATTAATGTCATCAAATTAGTCATTAAATGATAAAATTGAAAGATAGCATAAAACTACGAAAAAAAATACTTCATAAACAATGGAAAATAACACACAATAAACTAAAAAAAAAAAAAAA